GCAACACTCACAGCCCCACAGGAGAGGCCTGGTTTGATGCTTAACCCCCTGGCTCAGCAACGAGCCCCCAAGCTCCCCGTGTGTTCTGGGAGCCAGGTTTGCTGTGTGAATTCTGTGGAGCAGTTGCCGTCAGGCCTGGGCACTGGGATTATTTACCAGTTTCCCTGGCCCTGGGGCACTCTTGATTTCCCAGCTGTGATGGCCGAGTGGTTAAGGCGTTGGACTAGAAATCCAATAGGGTTTCCCTGCGGAGGTTTGAATCGTGCTCACAGCGAGGCCTGTGTTTTGGCCACACCCCTAACCTGGGCAACAAGCTGCACAACCTCTGAGCCACTCTCCCTGTCCCCAGTCAATCCCTTTCTGCACCTTTCTGAGAGACACACAGGGCATGATGCCTCTTTATGGGTCCCTGAGCTCTAGGGAAACTCTCAGCTCCTGCAGCCTCTGCCCCTTGCCCAGCACCCCATGGCTCAGCCCTACCCCTGGGGGCTGCCCTGCTCTAATGTGTGATAGGAGTTGAGTGAGAGGATGGAGCATCTGGGCCTGCCCCCAAAGATCCATTCATGAAGGGCAGAAATGCTGGGGATATGATGTGGGTCACTCCTCTCGAGGCACACATTGGAAGCAAAGGGTCTAGAAAAGTATTGGGGGGAGAGGAGGGGGTCTTGTTCCCTGCTTTTTCTCTGCCTTGGGCAAAGAATTAGTAACAGAATATTTGTCCAAGTGAATGTACTGAAAAAAACTGACAAGCATGTTTCTGTTTCTGTGGGGTAGTGGTTATCATGTTTGCTTAATGTGCAAAAGGGTCCTAGTTCAAAGCCAAGCAGAATGGGGGTTCTGCTCTGATTTGTGCCTCCCCCAGTAAACACAGCTCCTGCTGCTTGGGATAAGCCCAACTCCCAGGCTGAGTAAAGCAAGGAACAGACAGCCCCAGTCTGGGAAGACAGAGCTGCCTGACAACTCTAGGGCTCCTCAAGCCCAGGGGGTCACATTGGTGCTAACAACATGTGGTGCCATTTTCCAGCCAGGCCAACAGGAAGTGTTTGTTAGGGTACCACCTGATTTCCTGCAAGTGTAGCCCTCATACTTTCTCCCTGACAGGATAGATACCTAGGCTGTAGCTCAACTTTCCTCTTACAGAGTAGCTTGTGATGACAGCTCTAAGCAAACCCATTAACAATTGAAGTTACTAGCCCCTATTAGCACCTGCCAAAGCCTGGGATTGAACCAGTGATCTTCAGATTTCCAGGCTAACGCTCTCCCCAATGAGCTACTTTGGCTGTGGTAATAGGCCTGTCTGGCCTGTAATTCTCTGTCTGGGATGTTTGGCAGCCGGGCTGCACAAAGTGGACGTCGTCATGCCCTGCCCAGGAAGGCCAGACTGGCCTTTCCACAGCGCCCCTCCCCCACAGCCCAGAGCCAAGGTTCCCTCTAAGCCAGGCCTGGGCAATACAGGCCAGCGGGCTGGATCCAGCCCATGAAGCCACCCAACATGGCAGCAAGAAGCCTCAGGCAGATTCCCTGCTCGCCCTGCCCCCACGCACAGCTGAGAGAAGGGGCTGCTGGGCCCTTTGTGTCTCTCAGCTGTAGAGGAAAAGGCTTCAGGCCTGGTCCCTGCTCCAAGCTTCAAGCTTGTTTGTGGCCAATGGCAGCATTTGCTCACATTTACTTATGCCCTTCTGGGACACAGAAGAGGCCTCCCCTGGCCACCCATGGAACTGCTGGTTCAGGAAAAGGCTGAGTGGGGAGGAGTGTTGGGAAGAAGGAAACAACAGGTGAGAAGCACCTGATGCCCACAGACCCTGACTCTCTATGGCTGCAGGAGCTGCAGTGGTTGCTCCCTCAGGCTCTCTAGGCCCTGACCTGACCCCCTGAAGGAATGACAAGGGTGTGTGGTGCTGGCTCTCCTGTCCCAGCAATTGCAGTCAGAACCCTGCCTTGCCAGTAGCTTCTGCAGGGGCTCCAGGTTTCCTTCTTCCCAATACCCCTCTCAAATCAGCCTTTTCCTGAACCAGCAGTTCCATGGGTGGCCAGGGGAGGCCTCTTCTGTGTCCCAGAAGGGCATAAGTAAATGTGAGCAAAGGTTACAGCAAGGCACCACTGGGACTTGAACCCAGGATCTCCTGTTTATGAGGCAAGTGCTTTAGCCAGCTAAGCCATGGTGCCCTCCTCTGAAG